GTGGTTTCCACATTCAGTTGGGTCACCTTTCTTTGGGATAGGAACAAATATAGATCTCTTCCAGTCAGTTGGCCAAGTGGTCGATCTCCAGATTTCTTGGCACAACTTGAAAAATAATATATAATACTAGTATTTTTTTCTAAGTGGTGTAAATAGATGAAAGTCACAATCTTGCCTTAAATGAATTCTGTCTAGTAGTCAAAAATGTCAATTAAACAATATAATATGATAAAGGATTTATTAGTGTATCCACTACCACTTGCCATTGGTATAAAGAAGAACTCGCATTTTAGCCCAAATGGGTCATGAAAGGATTTTAAATTATGGCTTAAAGGAAAGTACAAATTAGCTTGTGAAGTAAATGGGAGGCTATTGTGTATAAAGAGAAAAGTAAATAGAAAAGCATGAGAGATTATTATGGATTATGTAAAAATTTTTATTGAGTCCACACATATTAGTATCTATTTCCTAAAAGCAAGAGGATTATTCTCTCTGCTATGCTTGGGAGGGTGAAGCGACAGCACAAGAAGCAAAGACCCTTGCAAGAGAGAAAGACTCAAGAGAGAGAGACTCTCAGTGAGATGAATTGACTCAGTGACTAAGGTAATGGGGGGTAGGTGTGCCAGGGAAGATCAGGTTGGCGCAGGATAGAGCAGGATTCAGAGCTGTTGTACATAGGGTCGCTATGAGTCACAAGCGACTCTACAGCACATAACAACAAGAACCCATAATAAGAATAATAGTAAAGTTAATTAATAATAGTAAAGTTCAGTATAATTATCTAATGTTCAGTCTCTATTGCAAATTCCTCATTATCCCAGTAATGTCATTTATAACATTTTTGTAATCCAGGAATAAAGTGAATATACTGAACAGTGTTTAGGTACCTATTTATTCTCCTTCAAGTTCCTTAACCTTTTCTATCTTTCTCTTGTCTCCTTTCTTTCTCCTGCTCCCTCTCTCAGCCTGTCATTACATTGATAGGTTTTTTTTTAAATCCTTCCCATTGTCATTTGATCACTTTCTTGCAGCTATGTTCAGATTAAATACTGTTGTGTAAAGTACTCTGTAGGTTCTTAGTGTATTCTTTCATGAGGTAGTTGACATTTTTGTTTTCCAATGTGATAATCCATTCCTACTATGACCTATTTTTTTTTTACTATGACCTATTTAATCATTGTGTTGCCCTACAGCTTGCAAGATTTCCTTATGTTATCATTTCGCTACCTTTATGACACATCCCTGCCTGTTATGACATATTATTACTATTATAATAATTATTTTTTAGATAGTTACTTGTTTTTGTCATTGTTGTTATTGTTATTATGATATAGTTCTGGTGGCAGAGTAGGTAAGGAGCTGCGATGATATTCACAACTGTCCAAAGGAAAAATATGGACAGCTTCCTTTCATATGATTTACATTCTCTGAAAACTTGCTGGAGGATTAGCTCTCACTTGATGGTGCATTACACAACCACAGAGTATATTGTTTCCCCATTAACTGAGTTGTTGTTGTTGCTGTTGTTTTGTACTAAAGAGTCAGAATCGACTCATAGCTGACCCTTCAGTGGGTTTTCAGAGGCAGTTAATCGCATGAGAGGAGACTACCCATCTATCCATCTCCTGCAGAGCAGATAGTGGCCTCGAACCATATGCCTTCAGGTTTTCAGTGCAGCCTCTTGCCACTATTTGTTGTTGTTGTTATGTGACATCGAGTTATCTGTGACTCAGAGTGACCCTGTGTACACCAGCCCTAGACCCTGCTCTATCCCTTGCCAATCTTATTGTTTCAGACACACCTATCCCCATTACCCCACATTACCCCAGTGACTGAATCAATCCATCTCATCAAGGTTCTTCCCCTCATACGCTGTCCCCACCACCCTCCCTAGCATGACGGCCCTCTCCAAGGACTGATCCCTCTTTGCAGCATTTCCAAAGTGTGTCATACAAAGCTTCAGAATCCTTGCCTCCAAGGAGCAGCTTGGATTCACCCTCTCCAGGAAAAACCTGTTTGTTCTCCTAGCAGTCCATGGTATATTCAACACTCTTCTCCAGCATTGGAGATAGGACACATCCCTGGCATAAACCTTCCCAGTTTTGAACCATGTAGTGTTTCCTTGCTCTGTTCTGACAACTGCCTCATGGTCCAAGTATAAGTTTCCCATTAGCACAATCAAGTGTTCTAGGATTCCCATTCTTCTCAGAGTCAGCCACAGTTTGTTATGATCCACACAGTCAAATGTCTTTGTATATTCAATGAAACACAGATAGACATTTCTCTGGTACTTTTTGCTTTCAGCCAAGATCCATCTAACATTAGCGACAATATCCTAGTACCACAACCCCTTCTAAACCCAGCCTGCACATCTGATAATTCTCTTTTGATGTGCTCTTCCAGTCATTTTTGGATAATCTTCAGCAGAATCTTGCTTGCACGTGATATTAGTGATACTGTTCGATAATTTCCACACCCTGTCAGATCACCTTTCTTTGGAATGGGACCAAATAGAGATCTTTTCCAGTCATTTGGCCAAGTGGTTGACTTGGGGAATGGGAGTAGGTGTGTCAGAAACAACAAGATGGGCACAGGATAAAGCAGGGTTAAGGGCTGTTGTGCATAGGGTCGCTATGAGTCACAGGCAACTCAGTGGCACATAACAGCAACAACTAATTCAGCACCACAGCTTAAAGGCATCCACCAGAACTCTCTTATTTACTGAGCATTAGTATTAAAAGCAAGATCTAAGTGGTAGGTGTGCTCATTACTATCATGGTGTCATTTTTACCCAACTTTTTTGATTGACAAAGCTAAATTTTTCTTCTGTTTTTGTTTTTGAAACTTTTTAGCTCATACAGTTATCTTCAAGTCCAATTTAGTATTTCATGATTCGTCTTCTGTCTTCCCCATTCCATATTTATATTTCTTTCTCCTACAGTGAGCACGACGTTGCAGACAACATCTATGTATTTCCCATCTGTTCAGTGTCTTACTGCTCTCATAATGATTACAGTATCACTAAATCAGTACTGGTTTTTTGTAAGACTTGGGCTACCAAACTGAAGGCTCGTGGTTTGGATCCACCAGTTTATCTGTGGAAGGAAGTAGGGCCGTTTCCTCCCATGTGATTACCCACCAGAGGGTCAGCTATGAGTAGGCTCCAATTTGATGCTTCTCAACAACAACAAATCAATACCATTGCCAACAACAAACTTAATAAATTCCAAATGTCTTTGTAGTTTCTTGTCATTTAAAGTATAGTCATTAAATGGGTTCAAGAATTTCTGGGATCAAACCTCTTCTATTACAGTTAACGTTACTAACATAATTCACAGGTATTTTTGTTTCTGTTTAATTTCACCTTAAAGGTATCTGACTTTTTTCTGTTCTCATTTTTACTTTCTTTTAAAGTTTTAGATTATTAAAAATTTTGTCTTTAACTAACGGAATATATTTGTTACCTTATGCTTGCAATTACCTAGAGTTCTTTCTAGAATAAAATATGGTTGAATTTGAATGAATATCTTCTATGATAGCTAGATAGTTTCATCACTTAAGATGTCTAAACAGTTTATCGTATTTTAATTAAAATAACCATCAAAGCACTTTTGAATTCTATTTACATTACATAAACAACTTCAGAAAAACTATTTCTCACCCACCTTTACTTGATAACACTAGAAGAATTTATACTTTTCTAAAAATATAAAACAGAGCAGATGGAAACAAGGCCAATGCATATTTATATTTATGTATCTGTTTATAAACTGTAAATGAATTTACTGCATTCACTTGTCAACTTTTCTTCATAAAAAGGATTGCACTAAAAAAGGAAACAAAAAGAGATAGAAATTTCGGAGGAAGTAGTTTTCCACTGCCTTGGACATACTTTAGACCTACCATTTAGTAGGGAATTTCCACAAGTAAATTCTTTGTGTTGGGGGATATTTTATTACATTTCCTTACATTTCCTTACATTTCTGTTAATTCTGTATTTCTTGAAGCTTCATTTCTCTACTCTATTTGCATGACATTGAAGATTGTAAATAACTTAATCTTGTAAAAATAATCTATTTGTAGAACGAATTGACTCTATAGTTATATTCTTCATTAATGTTATTGCTATTGTGTACCACTGAGTCGGACCTGACTCATTGCTGATCATCCAGTGGGTTTTCAGAGACAGTTAATTGCAAGGGAAGAGATTGCCCATCCACCTCCCATGGAGAAGCAGGTGGCTTTGAACCACATGTCTTTGGAATTGCAGTGCAGCTTCTTGCCATTAGCCCACCAGAGCTCCCTCATGAATTATATACAAAAATATCAATTTAAACTAAATAACAATGAAATACAGTCCTTTCAGATATTTGACATCATCTTTTACTGTATTTTCCATATAGAATACAACCTTTTCACGTGCTCTGTGAAAGTCTATAGTAGTTGTCCTTTGGCAGCTCAAGTCAGAGCACAGTCGTTCTCTCTGATACAAAAAATAAATTGTTGGGAGCATGTTCACAGAAGTTAGCTCGAGAATGTAATTTTGTACAATCACTTCAGACAGCAGAATCTGCACAGCAGAAACAAAAACACACTCCAACACCTGGTCGATTTTAGAATAGAAGCTGCTGCCTTGAAAATAACCCATTTCTATGAGGGAAATGTGATTTATGATAACCTGAGACACAGATATGACTAGAAGCACATTCCATTTAAAGTTATTGTGCTGCTGGACTATAAAAACAGTACTCTGAAGTGAATCAATGGAACTGGGTCTTCTTTAGTGGACAGTAGCATAGGCACTAATGAGACAGATTTCATTAAAAACAGCTGATTTATGAGAGAGTTAAAGTCCTATTTTATTTTGAAATTGCTGGTTTAGTCCTGGCACCCGACCTTTCCTTCCCCATCACCAGCACCATCCCCAGTTTCCCTGTATGCTTTGACATTGCTATGGTAACCCTGAGGGCTGATGGAATTCCCTGCATCTCTTTTCACAGAGGGTGATGAGACAGGAGTGATGGATAGTCTGCTGGAGGCGTTGCAGTCAGGGGCTGCTTTCCGAGACCGAAGAAAAAGGACACCAAAGCCGAAAGGTGACTATTATACTTATTTCATGTTCCTTTCCAGGGAACTGTCACAGAGATGACACTGCCCCTCCCCCTTTTTAAAGTCATGTGTTAAGAATTCAGTGCTATGGGCAACAACTGTTTAGAAATTTGCTTAATCTTTCCCTAGCAGTGACAAATGTCAGAGAGGTATGCATTCCAGTTGGCCAATGTCAGTAGCACATTAACACATCAATGCACTGAACTTAGAAAATCCTGATTAGTGTGACAAGTCTCATTTAAAGAACCATGTGTACCGTATCCCTGTGGAGTTTACAGTAGCATAATTAGATGGAAGTAAAAGTCATAACATTATGCCTTGTTTCAAATATTTCAGGGTATTGAAGCATTGCTTTGCTTCTAGAAATACTTAACCTTGGAATAAGTCTGCCTTATATGGTTATACTTCTTGAGAATAGCTTACCCACTACCACTCCATTCATTCTGACTAGTGGCCCTGTAGAACAGAGCAGGACTATCCCAAGAAGTTTTCAAGACTATAATGCTTTAAATAGGTAGAATGCCTTATTGTCCTGCCATAGGGCAGATGATGGGTTACAAGACCAGACCTGTATACGAAGTTTCTTTCTTTCTTTCCTTCTTTTTTTAACAGATATTCGACAGAGTCTCAGTCCCATCTCTCAGAGGCCTGTTCTGAAAAGTTGTAACCATGGTAATAAACCATATTCCTAAATTGCACATTCTTATCTAGTTAATCTCTGGTTTTAGTAGATTGCCTTAAAGATCTCAAGTTTCTATATACCTGAAACTGTAAACCTGTAAATATCCACATTTGCTATGAGTACATATACTCATGATTTCTAGTCTTGCATTCTTGTCCTGCGGTGCTCTCTTAGGGTATTATTTTATAGCAGTGGATTTTGTTTACTTTACTGTTCTTTTAAGTTTCTTTCACATGTTCCTGACCTATGCTGTACCCCTTCAAAAGCGATATGCTCTCAAAATATTATGTTAAGTAGTGAGTTTACATAGATACAATTTAAAATACTGAATCTGTTAACCTGTTTTTGCTACTACAGTCTGAAATATTTTGACAGCACTTTGGCATAATGATAAATACAGATGAGCTCCATAAGATTCTATTGTAGAAAAATATGCTAAACGTAACTGAAAAGGTGATTTTACAGGCAGGAAAATAATTACAGTGGGCTCTGATAACTCCCAAAGACTGGCTCGTTAGAAATCCCAAACTAACTGATGCCTTCTTCCTCTTCCTCTTTTTGGGTCCTGCTTCTTGACTGGACTTATTTTCTTTGTCTCCTTTTCTCTCAATGTTCCACATTGTGGAGTTCTGTTTACCTTGCATTGTAAATCCTAATTCATCCTGATGGCCGTTCATTCACGGTGTGACTGTCATCCAATTCACCACATTTATAAATGGAAGAATCCTTGGTAGAGTTCATTCAAGCCTTTTTTTATTGGTGATAATTAGCTAAATTTTGCAAGTACTAAAGTGTAACTGCATAGAGATGTAGAGTCCAAATTTCAAGGGTAGTCTAGAAATTACGAAATAGTGGTTTCTTTACAGCTTCATGAATCCTCACAGACCAAAGTAAGGTGTTACGTTGTTGTTATTGTGTGCTGTTGAGTCGGAACCAACCCATAGCTGACCCTCCAGTGAGTTTTCAGAGGCACTAAATTGCACAGGAAGCTTGATTACCCATCTTTCTCCTGCAGAGTAGCTAGTGGACTTAAGGTGATTAAGCCAGGCTGCTCCTTGAAGGCAAGGATCCTGAAGCTTCTTCTGACATACTTTGGACATGTTGCAAGGCATGTCCAGTCAGTCCTTGGAGAGGGACTTCATGCTTGGGAGGGTGGAGGAACAGCGCAGGAGAGGAAGACCCTCCATGAGGTGGATTGATTCAGTCCCTGGGGTCGTGGGAATAGGTGTGTTGGAGACAGTAAGATTGGCAAGAGATAGACCAGGGTTTAGTGCTGTTTTACATAGGGTTGCTATGAATGGCAGGCGACTCAACGGCACATAACAACAACAACAATAAATAAAAAGATTTTAAAAACCTATAGCATAATTCTGAATAGGTCTTTTTTTCCTTACACCAATTATATTATTGTTTTTGCTTTACCTTCTGATATAATAATAGGAAAGAAATGGTGGGATAAGTCAAAGAAAATAATTGTGGCTAAGTATTCCCTATTTTTGGATTTATGATTTAAAGTCACGTTCATGTACTAAATCATGACTAAATGATAAATGATAGGACTTTCTATTAATAATAAAAATTCATTGGCATCAAGTCATAATCGACTCCTGGCTGACCTCAGGTTTCAGAGGCTATAAATAGCGTGGGAGTAGATAGCCCATCTTCCTCCTCCAGAGTTGCTACTGGATTTCAACTCCAAAGGGACTTAGCCTTTGGGTTAGCAGTGCACTCTCTCTGGACTATTTCACTGGAGCTGTGAGTACAAAGTTGCATTATGTATAAAGATTTAGGTTACTTCCTATTAATAGTGAATCATACAAATAGCACAGATTAAAGAAAAGAACCACATGTAAATGCATTTATTGTGTGTGATTTTAATAGTATTCATTTATAAATTTATAAATATTATTATGCTATTATTTGGGGAAAATCATTTAAGATAAATTTGCATACCAGCCTAAGGGAACTCTGTCCGTTTATAATTATAATCATAGTAAACTATGATGACTTTGCTAGAAAATTTATACTTCTAAATTGTGATTTTTCTGACCTTAAAACAAAGTAGATGAGCGTTACTTTTCTGTCTTTTCTAAAGTTACTTACTATGTACTATGTTCAGTTCTTAGGTTGTTGTGATCATTGATTTAGGAAATCAAATGCCAGAAAGGCATTTCACACAGATCAAATTCTTTTTTCTAATATAAACCTATTCTGTTAAAGCATTTTAAAAACATCTTTTCTGTTATTATATCTGTTTTGTTTCCTTTTACATTTCTAACCAAATAGAAAGAAGCTAGAAAAATAGAATTGATCTTTATAGACTGTATATATGTAGATAGATTAGGCTAGACATTGAAATATGAAGATTCCTTTTATTTAAGATAATTTCTTCATTACAAAAAGATCATTTTAATTTTTAGGATAAAATAATACATTAAGGTTCAGTTTTATAATCTTATTTCTAAATACCACTATGTGAAATAATAACCCTATAATAGAATCCTATGTTAAAATTTAACATTAAATCTATTTTATACAATATTCAGTAGTTGATACGATTTCATCATTTAATCTTAGATTAATTCAGCAATTTTCCACCATATGTTTGTTCACTTGGTAAGTTCAAATGAAAATAATATTTATGTTCACTAAATTGTCCATAAATGCTAGAAACTATAACTGTATACTATATTTTATTATGTACTGTTTGGTTTAACCCTCAGTAATCCTGTGGGAGGGTGGAGGGTTAATGCAGTTAACTCCATGTTCTAGTTTGAAAAAAAGAAAAAAAAATCAATGACTACGAGGTTAAGTACCTCTCTTGAAGTCATGCAGTTCAGCTTTAACCCTGAGCCTTTCTGCATCAGAGCCCAGTTTTTAATTGTGCATGCCTGTTAATATCTAAAGGCAAGTACCTAGCTCAGTATTTAATCCCATTACCATCCACAAGCCAGATCTGTTCATGTAAATATGAACTATTGAATCAGAATTTGTCATGTTTTCTAGCCTCTCACATTCCTCACCTCTTTGCTACACATTTAAATGTAGATAACACAGTTTTCCCTCCATAACCTTGGATTACAGGCATATACTAGTTCCTGGAACTAATCATGGTGATTTTTTAAAATTCAGAAAGAATTATTACTTATATTTTAGTATTTCTCTTTTTCAAATAAATGGTATTAAGACTTGACTGCATAATGTGTAATATGATGGACTGCAGCAAGTCTTCAGGTGAAATGTAGACAGTATAGTCCTCTAAAGATTTATAGCTTCAGAAACCCAAAGTGGATGACCATCATGAGTTGGAATTGACTCCATGGCATGGCAGTGGGTGTGTACTCCATTATAATCCAAAATTTAGGAGGTGTGTGTATATCTCTTGGTAATACAGTAGTTAAGTAGTTGGCTGCCAACCAGAAGGGTGTCACTACTCAAAAGCACTCCAAAGACAGCCTGCTTCCATGCAGATTTACAGCTTTGAAAACGATAGAGAGCGAGCTGTTCTCATCTCCTCTCTATGATCGTTATGAATTGACATTGGCTTGGAAATGATAGGTGTGTGTGTTTTCTGAACTCATGATAAGGTTCCATTCTGACAACTGATGCTGCTTATGTTAGGAATTTTCAAACTCTCATGCTCTCAACTAGATTGCCTTTAAGAACAGTGTCAAAACAAGATGTCAGGTTGAGAATGGCTGTAAGGAGGATGTGTTGTTCAATTGTAGTGTGCTGTTAGAGCTGAATGTTTCTGAATGTTCTCTTCATTACAACTCTTAGCTTGGACTTAATTATATACCAGGCCATAGTTTGGTGTATGACAGTGTTTTGAACCCAACACCACCAACAAAATAACCAAATCCACTGTCATGTCTTTTCAGATTCATAGCAACCCTTTATGGTAGAGTAGAACTGACTCTTAGGATTGCCAAGATTAAATCATGATTAAAGTTGACTGACACATCTTTCTCCTGTGGAGTAGCTGGTCAGTTTAAACCTCTGATTTTTCAGTTAACACCCTAGACCTTCAAGACCTAGTTAGTGCCATAATGTGAAAAATAAAGCGTTGTCAGTGAACATCTGAAAATGACAACATATGCAAATTATGCACCACAATACTGTTTGTGTTAATAATAATGAGAAAGTAAAAAGCAAAACGAAACAAAAACTAGGTGAGCATTACCAAATATGTCTATCATAATGCAGATATATTTTAAATCAGAAAGTTCTTGTGGTATCCTGAAAGTTCAAATTTAACTTTATTAGCTTCTGTGTTAACCTTTCATTGTTTATGGGCTGTAAATGGTTTTTTTGTAACTATATTCCCAAGCTTCTTAGATTTTTTTTTAAAAAGCACATTTTCTTTTTATTTTTTAAAATCAAAATATCTTCATAAAGTATCTTTTGAGATTTGAGCCCGAAATGTCCTAATATATATTTTGACAAAGATTATCTCAAATATATTAACTCGTATGAAGTTCAAAAGCATAGAAATCATATATACCGAATATCCCAGCTCTATTGTTTCTCTTTAGTTATAACCTTTATCTTTGCCTAGCTTATTTGTTTGTTTTGGCTATTAAGGCCTAAGCAGAAATGATATGTTTCTTCTTTCACTTTCCAAAATATTCATTCATTCAGTGAAATTTATTGAACAATTGCTAAGTGTTTGAAACACGAAGGTACCTGACATTATTTTTCCCTCAAAGAATTCACTAACCAGTTGGAGGAGAGACCAGTTGTTATTCCCATTGCATGTAATAAATGCCCAAATAGAGGAAACACCTAAGTCTGTGGAAGACCAGAAAGAAATAGTGAAGCCAGATGTGGAGGTGAGAGCAGAGTCCTGCAGAAAGTCTTCTAAAGAGACCCGGTGTAAAAAGAGAAAGGTCCTCGTGAGGATAGCCATGTCTGACCTTTACTGACTTCACAAAGGAGGGAACTGTCTCCGTCATCAACATCAACAACATCAAACTAATTTCCAGGAGGT